ACATGCTGAGTAGAGTTCACTACTGGAGGTTCCAGATTGGAGCCAGTACATTTGAAGCATCTATAAAAGAATTTATTCTTTTTTAAAAAAATTATTTGGGGCTAGGGATGTGGCTCAAGAGGTAGCGCGCTTGCCTGGCATGTGTGCAGCCTGGGTTTGATCCTCAGCACCACATACAAACAAAGATGTTGTGCCTGCCGAAAACTAAAAAATAAATATTAAAAAATTCTCTCTCAAAAAAAATTAAAAAATTATTTGTATACATATTTTTAGTTGTTGATGGACCCTATTTTATTCATTTATTTATATGTGGTGCTGAGGATCAAACCCAGTGCCTCATACATGCTGGGCAAGCACTCTACCATGTATCCACAACCCCAGCCCAAGAATTTATTCTTTATTCTGTCTTTTGTGTATATATATATATATATATATATATATATATATAAAGAGGTAGACTTTATGTGTAAAAAGTAAATACATCAAAGTACAAACAGCAGTCACATCCAGGTTTTCAATTTATGGGTGGTTTTAACTGCTTTTCATAGTTCTGTTTTACTGAATCCAGTTTGCTTTGATAATCAGAAAGTTCTTAGGACAATGATTTCTTTAGAGTGGGTTTTGAATCTCCTTGGTTCGTTCTTGCATTCTTCACATGAGTAAGAGTTGCCTCAGGAAAGAACAAAGTCTTCACTTCTACCTGATATCAAGACAGTCTTCATTTGAAACATGTTTTTATCAAGAAAAAAATTCTGGGGCTGAGGCTGTAGTCAGTGGTAGAGCACTTGCCTAGCATGTGTGAGGCACTGGGTTCAATTCTCAGCACCACATATAAATGAATAAAATAAAAATAAAGCTCCATCAACATCTAAAAAATATTTTTAAAAAAGTAAAAAAGTCTTTTGTTTTACATGGATTATTAGTACAGTCACCTGGCCCTAATCCTGTATAGTCCTCACCCTGAAGAGATGCAGAAGCACACATTTTTGGTCTATTGTTGCGTTCTATGACAGGTAAGAGGTGCTTCTCATCCTTACACCTTTCCATATGTTGTCTGTGGATGCCTTTACAAGAAGGATCTAGGTTGGAGCCAGTACTTGGAAGTTGAGAGAGACAAACAGGAGTGAAATTCTTGATGGCAAGGGCCTCCATGGGGGTGTGGGTAGGGAACATGCCAACCGCCACATGTTTCTCTGCCTCTTAATTTCTGTATCTGAAGGTTTTGCAAGGCCAACACCCCTAGTAGTCATGTGCGCAATTCTCCTTGCACCACTTATGTCCTTTTCTGGTACCAACTCTAGCAACAAAGCTTGATGCTTTCACCATCTCCACTCACTTCCCTTTTCACCAGACGATTCTCTGCAACTCAAAGTCCTTCCACTATTTTCACAACTGAGGGTCAAGGTATTTATTGGCAGACACTGTTAACTGTTATTAATTATTAAGGGTAAAAAGTTAAGGCATTGTGCTATAGTAGAAAGAGCATGGAGTTCAATACCAGGCAAGTTGGGATTGGAATCCAGGCTTCACTAACTCTCAACTTTGGATAAGTGTTTGAGTTGCATATCTGTAAAATGGAGTCAAATATCTTTCCTGAAGAACTTTGTGGGGGTATCTATTATACTTATAACTTATGTAGCTGTGGAGATCACTGTATGACTTCATTTTTTGCAGTGTTACAATGATATGCTTGAGGCAAGCAAACTTTATAAAGAAAATAAATTTATTTAGCTCTCAGTTTTGGAGTTTCAAGGGCATGGCACTGACATCTGTTCAGCTCTGGTTAGGGCCCTGTTGGCTGCATTACTTGGCTGGAGCACTTGTGTGAGGAAGAAATCTCATCTTGAAACAGGAAGCTAGAGAGTGACTCGGGCTCAGGCTCAGGCTTCTATAACAAATTGCTCTGGCAAGAACTCCAGGAAACCAGTATCCCTTTCTGAGGGTGATTCCCCCAATGGTCAAAGGACCTCCCACTAGGCCACCTCTTAAAGGTTCCACCACCTCTCAATATTGCAACCCTGGGTACCAAGCTTTTAACACATTAACCTTTGTGGGGACAAACAACACCCAAGCCTTAGCAGTCACCAAAAGGATAACAGCCATAAAGTCTCACATAGTAGACACTCAATGATATGAGTAGGCCCTCAGTGAATATCCATTATATCCATTACCTCATCATTACAGAACAGAACCCAGAGGGCAGGGAAAGGAGCCAACACTTGTGGGGGCTTGGAAAAATTCAGTAACTTGTTTGAGGTCACACAGCTAGTGAATAGCAGAGCAGGTGTCTGAACCAAGTTCTCTGGATTCAAAACCCAGGCTCTTCCAACAGACATCTCACTGTCCTTACCTTCTTGTGCTCAACCCAGAATTAAGGGAGAATCAGGCAGTTTACCATGAAAAATGTCTTCATACAAAATTGGGTAATCTCATCAAACTATATAAAAGTTAATACACAGAACTACAGACATTCTAGTGGACATCAGAGTGTATCGTGAAACCCTAAATAAGCCAACCAGAATGAGATCTAGGGTGATTTGTTCACATTACACTAGGAATTAAAGCAAAGGTCCTGGTGGGGAGGCTGGGTTGTGGCTCAGTGGTAGAATGCTTACCTAGCATGTGCAAGGTGCTGGGTTCAATTCTCAGCACCACTTTAAAAAAAATAAATTAAATAAAGGTATTGTGCCCAACTATAACTAAAAATAAAAATATTTTTTTTAAAAAAGGTCCTCAAATTTCAGCTAAGCCCAATTTCCAGCACTGCTAGAGACAGAAGAGGAGGAGCCTGAGAATTCGCATTCATAACAAGTTCCCAAGTGATCCTGATGCTGCTGGGCCATTAAAAACCACATTAAAATGTACCATAATACTCTCAAATATCATCTGTGTCTCACCTTCCTCAAATTCCAATGAACTATCAGTACATACAAGAATATCACAAGGGCTGGGGCTGTAGCTCAGTGGTAGAGTGCCCACTTCTTCACGTGTGAAGCTTTGGGTTCAATCCTCAGCACCACATAAAAATAAAAATATTGTGTTCAACTACAACTAAAAATTTTTTTTAAAGGATATCACAAAAACATACCCTAATTCAGAAAATCTAGCTTTAAGATCTGATGTTCCTGATGGACCCTTTTGTCTATAACACTTCCCTCCCAAGTAACTAAGGCCCTTTCAATATCACAACTCTGAGGAAAGTGAGAATGTTGTTGAGGTAGGATCACTTTTTATTCTCTTCCCCCATTCCTGTCCCTATTCCAAGTAGGTAGCCAGCATCTAACCGTTTTTGCCTCATAAAATTTTTATCTTGTGACTAGACAGTCTAGAATTAAGAGCACTTTGATAGGATTATACATAGGATGGAGGGGATGGTCATGCCTTGGAGGGCAGAAAGGCAGGAAGGAAATTTCTGTGCATGAGATATCAAGGGACATTGGGGAAACAAGGCTTCAGGAAAATGACTTCTGCATACAGAGGGAAGCTGTAGGCTTTAATGATCAAGTTACACACAGAACTACAGACAGGTAAGACAGACAGTAACACCCTAGGCTTTAGGGATCAAGCTTAAGCAAAAGCAGCACCCTCCCACCTAAGTCCCCTTTCCCCTCACATGCCCCACCAGTCCTGCAGCAGCAGACATGCCTACCTGAAGGGACCATGTGGACTTGGATAGTGAAGGCCTCAAAGAGGTGCCTCCAATTCTTGGGTGACTGGCAAGAAGAGAAGGGGCCCTCTAATAGAAAATGAGATTGAAATTCCCTTCACCTCACTCAGATGGAAGGAAGGATTTAATCTGCCACCTCCCACAAGCCTTCTATACACACTACACAGAAGACATGAGACAAATATAAACTCTTTATTACTAGTTAGGATCAGAAAACCCCCAACAATGGTTGATCTTGGTGAGCTGTGCTGGATCTCCAGGGGACCTCTGGGAAACCTGTTCAGAATGGCACCTCCCACTCCCTGGGCTCTACCCTGGCTCCTCCTTGCTTTGCAGCTGTCTTGGTGAAGCAAAGAATCTGCAGATAACAGTGGCAGGCAAGGGGCCCAGGGGCATTCTGGAGATTGCTGGCCTCCTCCAGTTCTATTTATAGTCCAATTAGTCCTTCCAAGAGAAGCACTATACACACATAGTACAGCAGCCCTGAAGTCTGTCTTTGGAATGCATTTTGTTCTTCATCCACTGTTCATTGGAAAGGAACCTGGGATGGGGATAGTCGGGGGCTGAGGACTAGAGTATGTAGCAAATACTTCCCCCAGTACTGTCTTTTTACAACACAGCCTAGTGATCTTTCAGGCAGGCTATAGTGCAGCCAGGAAAAATAGATGAGCCTCAAGAAAGGAAATCAGCAGAGGATCAGAAAAGCCCTGCCTGTCTTTTTGCCAGGATACTTTCCTGATTTTTTGCCACTGCTCATTCATCTTCTTTGGGATTAATGTGATAAACAATTGGTCACTCAAGCCCTTTCATGAAAATGTCTTTGACATGCCCCCAGAACCACAAAAGTGAAACCTTTTTTTTTAATCCAAAATTGGATCTTGATGTTATTTCAATTGGGTTTATCCAAAGGTCACATTTCATGCAAGACAAAGGGGACAACCTGATCCACATATCTCAAATTAGGCTCGCTTTTGTAATCTAACCAATCTCACCCAACGGATTATAATGTGTACACTAGATATTAACATAGTTATAGTTTCTAACACATACTAGGCCATTGGTAACTTTTTGTTCAATAAACTAATGAATTAAATTAAACAAATTTGCTACAATCTCTAAAATTACCATTCTTCTCTCAATTGGACTCTGCAATGTCAATCCCTTTTCTCCAACAGAAAGATTGAGTTCTAACAAAATTGGTCTGCTCTGTCTTGTTCCAAAATGTGTGCCAGAATGTGTCCTTCTCCATGATGCCTTCGTTTTCTTTTTAGCTCCAGCCAGTTGAGGTCATAGGTGAAGGCTGCTGAGAGCCAGAAGTGTATATCATGAGGAGTCACACACTGGGAGCCAGAGCTTCTTCAGCTTCACCCAAAGTTCCTGGAGCTTAGAGACACAAAAAACAGACACTATGAATGTTATAAAAACAAACTGAGAAAAAAATGTGAACACTGCTCCAATCTACAGTACAACAATAACATTGTCCGGGGGAAAAAAAAAAAACAACACCAGTGTTCCTAGAACATAATGTATCTTATGTTCTGAAAACATTGTTATTCCCAGCAGAAGATGTGGTGTTATGGAAGAAGGAGGTTAAGGAGAGTACAGAAAGGAGAAAAAGAGAGTGTTCTACAATATTAGCTTCTTCAGAATGTTAACCAACAGCAGCCATCCAGAGGCCACCTGTGAACTTAAATGCAATTGGAGAAATTTTCCTTTCAAAGATTAATTAACATATTCAGCAGAATCTCATATTTTTCAAAAATAATACAAATTATATACACACATGTATGTTATTAAACTCTCTCCAGTTTGTATTAATGTGTTAAAAATGGTTATTGCAGGTTGGTGATGTAGGCAAGTGGTAGAATGCTTGCCTAGCATTTGGGATGCCCTGGGTTCGATTTCCAGCACTGAAATAAATACTAGTACTGCTTGATGGTAGGATAATGGAATTTTTGTTTGGGTTTTAACTTTTTTATGATGTAAATAAAGGAGATCTTTTTATTTGAAAGGAGCCTCCAAAAATTGATTTATCTTTGGAATATATCTCCATTTTTTTTCTACCTCCTTGAATTCAGTAGGGAACTTGTTTTGGTGAAGGCTTCCCACCTCACTGGTTATCTAGATTTTTTTCTTACATTTATAGCAGGCCAAATATCAGGAAAAATGAATCATACTTTACATCTCAGGCAGTCCCAAACCCTCCTTCTGATGTCTGAACAAGTTTCTACTCTTGCTGGGTTTCAAAGGCTTTCTTATCTTTTGGCATTCTGGCCATCTGTCCCTAAGGCTGTTGTTTCCTTGGCTTCAGTTAAGCTCAGAGAAGTCTACAGAAGTGAGGCCTCACAGGACTTTCCTCCTGGGTTTAGTACCCTGAGGCTTCACAGGACTACTCCCTGACCTTGGCTCCTCTGATCCCACCACTAAACTTAAGTCCTGAATGAGCCGACTGTAGGCCAGGTGAATAGATGACCCCAATGGGCATCTGGACTGCAGCTCCAGCCACTTCTATTGAGATTACTCTGGGTGGGGAGGTGTTGGTCCTGGGAATGCCAATGGGAATGGTGTGAAGAATGGCACTGGTACTGGGTGCGGTGGTGTACACCTGTGATCCCAGCGGCTTGGGAGGTGGAGGCAGGAGTTCAAAGCTAGCCTCCGCAATTTAGAAGGGACTAATCAACTCAAAGACCCTATCTCTAAATAAAATACAAAACAGAGCTGGGGATATGGCTCAGTGGTTGAGTGCCCCTGAATTCAATCCCCAGTACCAAAAATAAATAAATAAATAAACAAAAAACAAAGAATGCATTGACAGAGGGGGGTTGAGCAACCTGGGCCCAAGTACAATGGGGTGCCATACCTGTTGGGGATGCCATCTGGGCCTCAGACTCCACATCCTGCGTACCCTGCGACCCTGTGGCAAGCGCCTCTCTCCTTCCCCCTGCATCCACAGGCCATGCCTCAATCCTGTGCTGCTCATCTGGCGACTTAGGAGCGACTTCCTGGGACAGCTCCAACTGGATCAGCCTCTCACGCAGGGCATCGCGCTCCCCCAGCGCTTGCTTCAGGTCATCTCTGGCACTCTGCAACTGAGAAACCACGTCGTCCTTCTCCTCACGGAGCCGCTGCAGTTCCGAGGCCAGAGCCCAGGCGGCTCCTTCGCACTCCTCCACCTGACCCCTCAGCCGCCTGACCCGTCGCGCCTGCTGCTCCCGCTGCCTCGCGGCCACTCGCACCCCGAGGGCCAGGGCACTCCAGGCGCACGCCCTCTTAATGGCGCGCGGCACCTGAGGGTCGGCCACGACGGACTGCAGGTTGTCTTCCACCTCGTTCCAGGGCCGTGAACGGAAGGTCAGGTAGAAGTCTGGGCTACCACCATTACTGAGCACCTCTTCATTGATAAACACCACCACCTCGCTGTGGCGGAAACCGCTCCTGGGGTCTCCGAAGTCGACGGCCATGGCCGCTGCGGCCTAGTCAGCAGAGCTGCCTCCTCTACTGTAGTAAGCCTTGGGCTACCAACTGGCCCGCCTCTCAATTCCTCTCTCTGTGGTGTTTCAGTCCCTGCCCAATCCTATAGCCTCTTCCTTAACCTCCTACCCCCTGCTTTCTCTACACAAAGCCCCAAGCCTTAAAACCAGTTCTCTCTCACATCAACCCCTTAGGCGGCTAAAGCGTCAACGACTTAGCACGTCACAGATAATGGATACTGAATACTGAGGCTGGCCGCAAGGCCTGCTGGGACCAACATTCCTTGGCAGAGCTCTTCCTGTCAGTCTGGTAGTTGGGCTGCTGCTCTACGGGGCAAGCTACATGGGGCACTGCGGAGAGTGCAGAGAGGACCCCTGTTTCCAAGAGTTTCTAAAGGACAACACGCAGTTACATAGTATGGATTTCTAACCTGGTGAGGTAGGAGAGTGCACGGGTGCACTCTTTGGCTCAACTCCCTCTCCCATTACTCTCATTGCTCTATCAAACCTTCTATACAGTCTCGAGCTGTGTGCACTATTCCCTTCTCATCTTAAGCAAATGACCTTGGAGTCTTGCTTGTCCTGAAAATCAAGGGAATGAGCTATGAAGGCCTCCAGCTTTCCTTGCTAAGTCCTATCTCCAATGCTCCAGATGTCAGTTCTTCCTGTTCTATTTTCTCAGGGGTTTTAATGCATCTATTTCCCTCTTGACTTTCCTGCATTTCCCTCATGTCCTGTGTTACTAGATATGCCATACAGTAAATCTGTTATAGTTCCTTCCATTCTTAAAATAATTTCCTCCCTCTAGCCCATGTCTTGCTTTTCTCCCTTTTTATGTTCATTAGGAGAATTGTCTGTGCTATGTCCACTTCACTATATTCCCTCCACCATTCAACCTACTGCACTTTAGTTTTCACCCCCAATGCTCTAGTGAAAATTCTAAAGGTCTTCAGCAGTTCCAACTTTAGTAGAAACACTAGTGGATACTTTGAAAGTTAGTTCTCATATCATCTTTTAGCAGAGTGCAGTGGTGTTGAACATTCCCTCCATTACACTCTATCCTGTCTTAGTTTCTGCAACATCAAATTCTACTGATGTTCTTCCTTTGCCTCTGGCTTATCTTTCTCAGTTTCTTTGAACTCCTTGTTCTTCTACCCAAGGCTCCAATTTTGGTTTTCTCCAGTATCATCTTCAGATCCCTCTTCTTTTCATTCTCTATGTTGTCCTTAGATGTGCTTATTCACTCCTGTAATTTAAAATGCTACCTCTATCACAACTCTGTATTTCCAATTTAGACTACTTTCTTGGTTATCAGATCCATAATCTTTTGTTCCTTTGGCAGACAGTTATTGAACACATAATAATTTTGCTTGAAAAATATTGAAAAATCCCTAACCTTCATGCTATTATATCCTATTGGTGAAATAATAAATGAAAAAAGCCAAACAAGTAAGCAAGATATTTATAAATTGTTATGAGTGCTGAGAAGTTAATATACAAGGTGATGTGAAAGATTAGGACTCCACAGGGGTTTGAGATTGTTGTGTGTACATAAGAAGTTCAGAGGAGCTGCAGTTGTAGCTCAGTGGTAGAGCACTTGCCTAGCTTGTGTGAGGCACTGGGTTTGATCCTCAGCACCACATAAAAATAAGTAAATAGGTCTGGGGATATAGATCAGTTGGTAGAATCCTTGCCTCACATGCAAAAGGCCCTGGGTTCAATTACCAGCACCACAAAATTAATTAATTAATTAATTGTATCATGTCCATCCACAATTTAAAATTTTTTTTAAAAAAGATTAGAGAAGGTCTCTGAGAAGATGACATATTATATGAGATCTAGAATTCCAGTGTCAAAAGTCTTGGTGCAGAAAAAGCTTCATACATGCCAGTGAGACCAAAGCATGATAAGTTAGGGAGAAAGCCAGGCATGATGGTATACACTCTGTAATCCCAGCATCTTGGGAGGCTGAGGCAGAAGGATCACAAGTTCAAAGGTAGTTTCAGCAATTTAGGGAAACCCTGTGTCAAAAAATAAAAAACGTGCTGTGGATGTAGCTCAGTGGGAGAGCACTTTTGGGTTCAAACCCCAGTAACAAGCAAATACACACACACACACACACACACACACACACACACACACACACACAGAATGGAATGAGATGCTATTAGAAACAAAGGTGTCATCTCACATGGCCTCAAAAGCAATATTAAGGTGATTTAATTTTATTCTAAGTGTGAGAAGCTGAAACTATAGTGTTTCTATTGGTAGTATCATTAGATCTGAAAAATTTTACTCTGGATTTTGCATGAAAAAGAGATTATATGGTGTCCAGAGCTACAACCTGTAGTAGCTGTTTCAGAGACATGGTCTGTGATGTCTCATAACAACCAGGATGGTGATATCAAGTAGAACTTCTGGGACATATAGTTCTGGAGCACAGAAGAGAAATTGGGTTGGAAATATAAATTCTGGAGTCAGTAATGAATTAGTGGTGTTTACCAGTCATAAACCTAAATGAGAACCACTAGGGAGAAGAAAGTCATATAGAGATAAGTAGAAAACAATGGACTCAGTCCTGGAGCATTGCAAATTTTAGAAACACAGAGTACAGAAGCACAAAAATGATTGTGTTATTCCTATGTAAGTGTGTGTGTGTGTGTGTGTGTGTGTGTGTGTGTGTGTGTGTGTGAGTGTGAGTGTATTACCTTTATTTTATTTCTTTTTTTATATGATGCTAAGGATCAAACCCAGCGCTAGGCAATTGCTCGACCATTGAGCTACAACCCCAGTCCCCCTATTTAACCTTTAAAATCAGATAATTATGGTGATATATGCTATTTCAACCACAGAACAATATGAAAAGCTCTGCAGATTATTTTGTGTAGCCATCTTAATAATCAATGACAAAAATATATTCTCCTAAAGAATGCTATTGACCCATTTCATGTATAAATATTGCTGCAAAGAGATTACACTGGCATTTCTGTGTCACTTTTGGTTAATGTAAGAGTAATTCCTTGTTGTGATTTATTTTTTTAATTTTCTTGCAGTGCTAGAGATTGAACCCAGGGTCTTGTACCTGCTAGGCAGGCAAACACTCTACCACTGAGCTACACCCCAGCTCTTGTGGTGTGATTCTTGCATTATACATGAAGTAGAATAAGATTTGAAGATGTATTATGATAAGTTAAAAATACATATGATAAGTTGAAGATGTTTATTCCATGCCATAGAAAAAGATGGACAGTTCCCCAGTTCATTTTTGTGAAGTCAACAAAATTTTGATAGCCAATAAGAAAAATAGTGTATACAATAATATAGTTTACAAATACTGACAAATATAGTTTACAAATATCTGCAAAAATTTTACATAAAATATCCAAAAAGGTACTGTACCAATGTTCCTGTGGCAAATATTCTTTGTTAAATCAATAGAAAAGTTTTCACTTTTTTGCTAACATAACCACTACATTGCCCAGACAGTGATATGGCAAGTCCTGCATAGTGTCTCATGGCAAATTTTAGCCAATCTTGTTCCCATTTTGTCAGTGATGGGCTTAGAGTTGGGCATGTAACCCTGTGATGGCCAATGAAGTCTATCAGGAAACTTTCTAGGGGTTTAAGAAAAATGTTTTCCTTTGTGATTAGGTAGAGGACCAATAGAGTGAAATCCTTTTACCATGAGCTGCCATGTTTTTTTGTTTAGGATGCTGGTATGAAGATGTGTTGTTTGTAGCTTCAGTAATTACCTTGAAGCCATGAGAAGAGATGTGGAAGATATATTTTGACCATCATGCAGAAACAGGGTAAATCCCCCACCCAATTTTTTTTGGAGGTCAAGATTGATGATAGCATATGCACACTGATTATGAAAATGTTTCTTTTTTTCCACTAGTAGGGTTTGAACAGAAGGTAACTCTGCCACTGAGCTACATCCCCTGCTTCCCTCCTTTTGGTACTGGGCATTGAACCCAGGGATGTTTAACCGCTGAGCCACATCCCAAGCCCTTTTTTTTTTTTTTTTTGAGACATGGTCATGCTAAGTTGTCCAGGCTGGACTCAAACTTGTGATCCTCCTGCCTCAGTCTCCTGACTAGTTGGGATTACAGGCATGCAGCACTTCATGAGGCCAAAAATGTTTATTACTTACATAATGAAGATTCTGAAGAGAGCAGCTAGGCCTCACCAGTTAGTCCAAAAATGGCTTAAGAAATTAAGGAGAGGAGATTTGCTTGGAATTTTAATTGTGGTTGGGGTGGGGTTGGGATGAGGGTTTCTACTTGTGGATAGGGGCTGGTATAGTTTGAAACTGCTGCTGACACCAAAGGAGGAAACATTAAAGTTTTCTTATCAGCTTGCCCAGATATGGTACTCAAGGGGAGAGTGAAGGGTGAAGCTTAAAAGCTGTTAGCAGTCAAAAATTAAAAAATGGAGTCATGGGGCTAGGGGTGTAGTTTAGTGGTTGAGCATATACTTAGCATGTGCAAAGCCCTGGATTCAGTCCCCAGCACACACCCTCCCCCAGTGGAGTCAGATTTTTTCATTATAATTTATCTCTGATGTCTAAATGATGACAAAAATGTACCATGCTTCATTTAATTGAATTTAAACTTATTTAAATAAACCATTTTGGCACTCTATGAGGCCTGCAGCCTGCAGCCTGTAAGAAAGGTAACGGTTCCATTGAATTCTTTCTTCAAGAACCCAGTATTACACATTCTGAGAAATGAAATTAAGTACCTTGGTTACTATCAGTAGTGTCTGGAATTCCAAAGGGGATAAGGAGTATCTGGGTGACCTTGATTTATATTTTACCCAAAATATAAGTCTATGAAGCAGTAGATTTTAGAGTTCTTAACGCAGAGAGAAATCTTGGAGTAGAAATTATTATTGTTGCTATCATCTAGATCAAAGAGCTAGATCATTGACAATGGCCCAAATAGTCTATAAAATGGTGCAGATAGAACTGATATTCAGTTAGGAAAAACAGTGTTAAGAGACCTGCATGAAGTTTGGCTGATTATGTTGACCCTTGGGTCCTATTCTTTATCTGGGATGTCCTTTTTAAGGAATGAAAAGTTACTCTCAAATGAGCTCCATATGGTGAACAGCTGTAAAGTATACATACATATTGTTCACTCAGTTTAGTTCAGAGAGCTCCTCAGGTATCAAGGGACCT